GAGATCTGTCAGATTCATTAGCCCTCCTCCCAAATCACAGGCATCCCCCACATGTTAGGGCAGGACTAAGGTGTGGGAGTTCCTGGGGAGACCGTAGAAGTGACAAAAACAAAGGTATCCACCACATGGCTTCTCTGCCTTCACCCCAACTGTCCGTCAGCCAGGTCCTTATCGGCTGCCGTCAGCTTGGTGCCAGGGGACCCTACAGCTGTTTTTCAGGTGTAGAGAATAGCAACTTGAGAGGAGATTGCCAAGGAAACCCACGAGACATGAGTGTGTGTGTGTATGAGAGAGACAGAGACAGGTCGCCTAAGAGAGCATCACGAGCAAATAAACCTGGAAGAGAGAACTAGCAATAGTACTACACATCAGAAAGCACGGGACCAGCCTTCTAATAAACTAACCTATTAGGAGGAAAAGTCAGTTGCTTGCTTGGACTGAAGCAAGATGTTTCCCCGAGGAGCCCAACAGCAAAATACAAAGATGGAGAGCTGGGCCCATGTGGCAATCCTGAGAGGTGCTGCTTTGAGACTGGAGGCTCCGGCACTTTGCTGGTTTCCCTGGTTTCAGTGTCTGCAGGTGCTTGGCGCCCCAGCAACATGCCTCCTGCCCAGCTGTTTTAAAGGAAAGCTAATTAACACACATTAGAATTGTTCCACTCTTAGCAAAGGGTATAGGCTTAACCTGAATGAGTGAGGCTTTCTGAATATTAAGCCCCCACATCCTTACAAACAATGTTGATCAAAACTTTCTATAATATATTCCTCTCAAAAAGCCTATGAAACTGGTATCATGTGCCCTGTTGAAAAAACTGAGGCTCAGAGACAGTGATAGATTTGCCCAGAGTCACCCAGCAACCGAGTATCAGAGCCAACAGTGTATCTAAGCTCTTGGCTACTACACTAGGCTACGGCCCGCAGTCTACTCAACATTTCCACTGATGCACCATTTTACTCTAGAAGGTAGATCCCTGTCACTCAGAAGAACATGGAATCTTGTTTCTGCTTGTTTCAAGGTTCAGAAGTGGTTTAGTGTAAATTCCTTTCCAGTTTGTGTTTGCTAGATCCGTAATTTCTAAAGTGGAGACCCATGTTTAAGTAAAACACAAAGCATTTAAAGCTCTATATCATATCATGAGTACATATTCTGGTGACCAGAATTGGTGTTAAAAAATTAACAGGCTCGGGGCACCTGAGTGGCTCAGTCACTTAAGCCTCCGACTCTTGATTTTGGCCCAGGTCATGATCTCACAGTTCATGGGATCGAGATTCATGTTGGGCTTGCTGCTTGAGACTCTCTCTCCCTCTCTCTCTGCCCTTCCCCTGCTTGCACTTTCTCTCCCTCTCTCAAAATAAATAAACATTAAAAAAAAAATTAGCAGGGGGCCCCTGGGTGGCTCAGTCGGTTGAGCGTCCGACTTCGGCTCAGGTCATGATCTCACAGTTCGTGGGTTCGAGCCCCGCATCAGGCTCTGTGCTGACCGCTTGCTCAGAGCCTGGAGCCTGCTTCAGATTCTGTTTCTCCTACTCTCTCTGCCCCTGCCCCGCTCACGCTTTGTTTCACTCTGTTTCTCAAAAATAAATAAATGTAAAAAAATTTTTTTTTAATTAAAAAAAAAAAATTAGCAGTCTTATGGTATGATACCCTGTTGAAATTTTAAATGGCTGCCCATAGAACCAACCTAACATAAGCTTACTACCTTTTTTTAAAATGCTGGTAAGTAAAATGTAGCCCTGAAGCTTCTTTCCTTATGTTTTACTGTGATTCCACACTTAATGCTTTACCCAAGAACCACTGGCTACAAAAGAACAGTGAAATCTATTATTTACAAAGGAGATTCACTTTAAGACTCCTCCTATCAGGAATCTTGAATAGTCTGAGTTACTTCACAAAAGTAATACATGTGGCAGAGTCTAATAATATGTACTAAATTAAGATCCCAGAGGAATCCACTTTAGCTGTTGAGAAAACAGTATAGCAGTGAGCCTAGGAGATGGGGTCATTGAGGGCCTGCCTCTGTGAACCTGATTATGTTGATGAAGAGTTTTTGTTCTACTTTTGCCAAAAAAAAAAAAAAAAAAAAAAAAAAATGCTTCTCATACAAATAATAATAACAATAATAATTACTATAATACGTAAACATTGCTTCACGGCCCTAAATCTAAATTCCTTTCCCATCTTCAGTTTTTAATAGAAGAAAAAAACCCAGATGTGTTTTTCAGTTAGGAAATCATGCTCCTATGCAATATTTTTATTCCATTTAAAGTCTCTTTAGGCCTTCATTAGTTAGTGTAACATCAGCTGCTATAACAAAACAAAATCCTTACATTTTCAATAGTGTAGCACAATCGAAGTACACTGTCATTTCATATGAAGGTTCAGGTCTTGGTGGTTAACTGTCAACTTTCCTCCATGCAGGGATTCTACGGGTCCAAATTCTTGCTGTCTCATAGCCTGGCCATCCTCTAGGGTCCTGTTTTTTCTTTTCTTTTTTTTCTTTTCTTTTCTTTTCTTTTCTTTCTTTCTTTCTTTCTTTCTTTCTTTCTTGGCAGAGAGGGAAAGAGAGGGCATAGGAGGAATGACTGGTTTTTTTTTTAAGTTTATTTATTTATTTTTGAGACAGAAAAAGAGAGTAAGCAGGGGGAGGACAGAGAGAGGGAGACAGAGAATCCAAGGCAGGCTCGCCCTGTCAGTGCTGAGCCCAATGAGGGGCTCAAACTCACAAACTGTGAAATCATGACCTGAGCCGAAACCGAGAGTTGGATGCTTAACCAACTTAGCCACTGAGGCACCCCAGGAATGCCTGTTTCTGAATTGCCTTAGCCTGGCAGGGATGCACATCATTTCCACTGTAACTCATAAACCACCTCTAGCCACATGGCACCACCTCCTTGCAATAGGAACTGGAAATGTTTTCCCAACTGGGCAGCCATTTCCCTAAAACAACACTCTACAATGGAAGAGGGAGGAAAAATTCCAGTGCACACTTAGCCATCTCAGCCACAAAACAAGAGCCCATGCCTTCTATAATTTCACTACTCACAGAGAAGGTTTTATCATATCAAATATTTATCCTCTTGAACCCTTCTTTAGGCTCTTTATCCCATTACCTCTGATGGCCTTTGCTGGGGACATGACTTCCTCAGGGAAACCTGCTATGACCCATGGGCACCCATGGTATATCCCCAAATATAATCAGTTTCACACTAAGTAATTTAATTTCCTTATTTTACTCCCATCTTTCTAATTAGGCTGTTGCTCTGTGATAGCAATGACTTTACCTGTCTCGTTCATCAATATCTTTAGTGCCTAACACTGCCCTGGCATATTATAGGTACTCAGTAAGTATTTGAAAAAGAAGGAAAGACAGGATAAAGAAAGAAGGGAAAAAGGAAGAGGGAGAGGGTGCTGGTTGGCTCTGGAGGGAGCTCAGTGTGGCTACCTGTAATTTGCATCATGTGGGATTTCAAGAGTGTAACCATAAAATGGGCTGGTCACATTTCAGGGATAAGGATCCAACCCTTTTTGGAAAAATAGTTCTGCATAGTCAATAAGCCTTCTTGGCAAACTCTGATAACAACTGCAAGAGACTAAAGATTTTCTGCCTGTAGCTCCTTGCTGGAGGAGGAAAAAATTATCTGTCATTCAGGATTCCTTTAGCTGGCCTAAGAATTAAATGCATTTGAGACCAATTAACAGGAGAAAATAAAATTTAATTATGTATGTATGGGGAATCCATGTAGACATGAGTTCCAAAGACAGTCAGTCAAAATGAGGTATATATGTCACCCTGAACTAAGGAGAAGGGCGTAGGGATCTGGGACTTAAAAGGAAAGGGAGAAATTTGCAGGAAGATAAAAAAAAAAAAAAAAAAAAAAAAAAAAAAGAGTAAATGTTTGCTGGGCCATACAGAAACAAATGGCATAGGGAGGAATTTTAACAATCAGACTTCGCTAAATCCTTCTTGGTCTACCACCCCTAGTTCTTGTTATACTGTAGTTATCTACAGTGATAACTCCTTTCCAGGAGGAGGTCCTCTATCTAAATTCTTGTAGGCAGTTAGGGAGAGAGTCAAATTTCTTCCTGAGTCTTTTGGGCCTTGATTGTTTTCAGCTGGAAATAATCTGTATGCCAAAGTAACACATCTTCAGGTAGCCTCCCCTTAGCCCTATATTCTAAATGCTTCTAAATGCAATGGAATACTACTCAACATCAAAAAGTAACAAACTGTTAATACATGCTACAACATAATCTCAAAATAATTATGCTAAGTGAAAGAAATGAGGGAAAAAATGACATATACAGTATCATTCGTTTATATAAAATTCTAGGAATTGCAAACTGATTTATAGTAACAGAAAGCAAATAAGCAGTGTCTCAGCCCTGGGGTAAGGTGAGATTGAATGTGTAGGTAGGATTACAAAGAGCATGACCAAATTTTGGGGGGTGATGGATATATTTTCTTAATTGTGGTCATGGTTTCCTGGGTGTATACATATGTCAAAACTTTTCAAATTATATACTTCAAATATGTGGGGTTTATTATATGTCAGTTATACCTCAATAAAGCTCTTAAAAATAAAATAAAAATAAAAAATAAATATGAGGTTAAAAGCATACTAACCCAGAACAGCATCCCTCCATATTGTCATTCCAAAATCTTGGGTGATTTGCGTCTTAAGAATGCTTCATAGTTATCTGATATCTTCATAGGTATCTGTCTACATTGTAAAGTTGGCAAGTATACATTCATAATGCACCCTTTGGAGAAACAGCAAAATTCTGTTGATCCTGGTCTGAGTATGGCTTCCACCTTTCAGAAGATGACTGAGTTATGGAGAAAGAGTGTGGGCTATTGAGATCTTCTCCTATTTGCACATACTACATGCGCTCATATAAACCCTTACATGTTCAGATCTGTTTCTTTCAGGTTTTGTGTCCAAACCCATCACTGACCCCCCAGCCCAAGCACCCAGCCACCTCCCCCCACCACCACTACCATGGCTGAAGACGCGGACATGCGCAATGAACTGGAGGAGATGCAGCGAAGGGCTGACCAGCTGGCTGATGAGGTGAGGGATGGGACACAGGAAAGGAACAAAAGATGGGGAACTGAGTAGTTTGACTTATTCAGGTTCAGGTGGAAAAGGTCTTCCAACATTTCAATTTAAAAAACAGTGGGGTATGACTTTGATATTCAATATACCTGATACCTCTGCAGACAGGAATGGTTTGATAAACCTACGTACAAGTAATGACTTACCCTAAACTCCCAATTTCTAGAAATCTAGAGAAGTCAAGATCTTCTAAAAAAAGCAATGTTTTCAGATATCTTATAGCCTACAGTGTGCTAGAGCTGGCCTAATTCTGAGAGGTGATTATTACATTTTCCAGAATTTTGCAAACTGGTACTAAAATTGAATTATATAAACTGACAATTAAATAGATTATATTAAAACCAAAATTAATAAATACTCAAAACTCATCACATCCTAATTATTTTACTGTATTTTACTTCTATCTATGATTTCAAAGTTCTTGACTTGTGTTGTATCTATAGTGTAGGAATACCATGTAATGGTACGTTACTGTACATCTTCCCAAGTTCACCTTCAGTGACACCATGATATAGTTAAAAATCAGACAGGTTAAGAGTATTTATATCCCAGGAATCTGCAGGCACTACAAGTCAGGGCTGACTTACTATTTTATTGTTTGTCTAGACTTATGAAAGTAGAGAAAATATATTAATAACCTTAAAAGTCTGCCTGTCTCTAGCCATTATTCTTCAATTAACACAAAAAAATGGAGGAAATCTTCCAGTATTCAAAAATTTTTGTTCTCGTCAGTAAAGAAGTCACCTGCATCATTGACAAACTAGTGAAGTTCCAACATGTCCTCATTGTTTCACATTCCTTTTATTCATTAATGTAAATGAAAATATCAACCAACATTCCTGTTAGAACTACACTTGTTCTTTGCACGCTTAGCATTGGACACAAGAGTTCTGCAAACCTTAACAGAAACTTTCTGGGAGAATCAATTGGCTATATGGAATTATTTGTAAACTTAATGCTCTCCATCCCTTATATCAGAAAAATAGTAAATTTAAATACATATATATATATTCATATATGTTTTCCAAAGAGCTGTTTGTTTAGCATTTACTAGCATACCACTGCTTATAGCCATTTATTTCAAAAAGCAGCCTCCTGACAGCTCTTCCAGGAAAGTTAACATTCTTCACATTTCTGCAGAATCTTGTCCAAAATAAGTTTGTCACTTAAAAGCAAAGCCTTGAGAAATCACCCTGGTTGCTGGAGTCTAGTTGTTAGTTTCAAAAGAACTGAGAAAAAAGCGACAACGCTGTGCCCGAGGGACCAGTGCTGACTTCAGATTTTCCGTCTCACTTTGTCTTATCTAAGGATGAAGATAATTATTATAGCTGTCTCCTATAGGCTAGTTATTTCAAACATGCTTGATTTTTTTTCACCCTAAGGCGACAGCTTAATTTGTATTGATAAGAACTTCCAATTGTGTTTCTAGGAGCTTTATGAGAAACTTGATGTTAGATTCATCTCAATTCATGAAAAATTATGTTTGTGTTTAAAATTCAATATTCCTGGTCCAGGGAGGCCAAATTAGTCGTCTGAGTATTTGAGATAATTTTTCATGCATCCTGCACATGCAAAATTATCTTTTCCAGATTACTTTGTCTTTGATATCAAGATCAGCTTCATATGGTTTTGATTTTAGAAGATCAGCTTTAATGTAATTGCTTTAGGGAATCTTATTATGTAGAAAGACTGATAGGAAAGATTGAAAATGTGTTTCAGTTATAAACTTAAAAGAATATGTGATAGTAACCCTTTGTGTTTCTCAAGTAAAGAGAATAGTTCTGGTTTTCCAAGACCTCTGGATTCTGCACTGATAATATTTATGCATTTTTTTTTAAATCTCAGTCACTGGAAAGCACCCGTCGTATGCTGCAACTGGTTGAAGAGGTAAGGAGTGGCCGAATTTCAAGATAATGAATTCCTTTTGCTGGCATATTCTTTTCCTAGACCCTACTGCCTTTTCCTAGGCCATGATCCCATTGATTCCAGAGCTAATGAAGTCTACCAGGAAGCCACGTTAATGAGGGAGATGTCAGGCAGCCATTAAACTATCCCCTCTCCCTCCCAGCCCTGGCTACCTTTGTAGTCTGGGAAGTAGAGATGGATGGTATTTCCAAGTAAATGCTCCCAAGAAATCTTCATATAAGATTGAATCACTTTAAGCAAATATAAAGAATTATCTACATAAAAACTTCCCTTGTAATGACTTTGATGCCTCTAGGTCACATCTCATCTTGACATTCTGTTTTGACTTAACCACATATATATATGACTTTTAAAAATATATATCCCAATAGATACAACATTTTCAGAAATTGTAATATTGAGAGTCAGGCACTAAAATTCATAAAATAATAGGAAAATTCTTTGATAAAAGGAATTTCAAGTCCACAACGCACGTATAGAAGCTCTTTTATGTTCCTGACTCTGGATTAAACATCCATTTGCGAGGCATGGTTAATGAATCCCAAACTATTTTTAAATGGGTAAAATAGGACAGATAGCAATAATGAAATCAAAAGGGCACTTACAATAAACCTTGCTCTTTCCAATTTGGTAGAGCAGCAGTCAACCAGGAAGAATAAATGGATTAATTGAACTTGTCTATTGGGAGAGATGAAGTGGAAAAAGAATGGGATGGGCTATATTTATCTTAACTGAATAAAACAAGCCTAATAGTTTTTATTCAGTGAAATGCTGTTTTAGCTATGCTTTGAAACTGCTTATCAATTCATGTGTGGTTATCATTTTTCGAGATCTTCCGTGTTCTCAAGGAGAATGATTAAATGAGCCTATTTGCCTCATGCTACTGTAAATTGCTTATGCAATGACATGAAAGGAAAGAAAGATCAATTTTATAAGGCTAAAAGGAAGTTCAGCTGCCTCTCACACTACAGAAGCCAATGTCTTCCCTTATTTCTGCACTTTCAGCTTCTTACCCAGAAATGAAATACTGGCTACATGTGAATTGCCACAGGAGGAGTGGGGAGAAGGTAGTGCCATGGGCGCCCCAGGACACTGAGGAAAGGGTGAGAGGTACACGTAATGAAATTGGTTATCACGAGAAATGAGAATTTGAGCCTGTAATGTAGCATAAATTGGCCCCTATAGGAAGGCAAGCCAACAAAGGAGCCCTCGGCATCACATGAAGCAGCTTTCCATCTCTAAAGGAAGAGAAATATTGTCTTTGCTCTACCCTGGGAACACAACTCATGCAGAAATACTTGAGGACCAAGAAGGAGGCAGATATTCTAAATCTAAGAGTGCTGGTGAGGCTTTCTAGCGTTAGCTTATTGTCCCTCAACCCATCATGAGAAGAAATGAATCACATTTTTGTGACATTCCCATGTGAGTTCTCATGTTGAAATGAAGCGAACCCACATGTCAGCTGACATTATTATGTTATATGTCTTTATGACCTTCAACCATAGCCTCCAGGCTCGTTTTTCATTTTTGTTTACGTGTATGCATGTGTCAAGTAAATTTCTAAAGTACCAGAACTGTTACCAATTTGCCCATGTATGCAAGTTGAAACACTGCTTAGAATGTGGGAAAATGGTGGAGCAAATGCATTAAAATGCATCACTTTGAACTGGCCCCTCACCCATTGGAGTCTTTGGGCCAACCAATATTTTTTTGCCTCTTCTTAATTTGCAAGTAGTGTCAGTCAGTCTTGAGAAAGAAGTGTCTGCTCTCATTTATTCTAACAGAGGGAGAGTCTCAAAAGCTCTACGGATTAAAGTAGGATACTTAAATCATACATTTTTGTTTCTCTTAAGGTATTTCTTGATCAAGCATGAAGTTGCATCTTATAGCACCAGGGGTGAAACAGACAGAAGCTAGTCCCACCTCTATAAATGAGAGGAGGCTATTAGACTTTCTATCCTCGGGAAATTACGAGCAAGGCATTATTAGAGTAGACTGATTGCTCTTACTTCCTCCTGGGTTATTTTATATTGATGGTCAAACACCCCTTATGTCTAGGGCAATGGCTATTCAGATGATAGTCTGCTTTTCAATCAAAAAAGAAATTTTCTTTAAAGAGAATCAGCATTAAATATTCATCAAGGGCAGAAATCATTTGGCAAATACGAGCTCTGAAATACCAGGATCTTCCCCATGATCCCAAAGTGCATCAGTGCTATCTAATTTGAATTGAGCTGAATTCTTATTGAAATTTAGTATCAAAGACAGGAAAGGTCACTAAATTTGTAAAGTCTCCCTAAGGCAGACAACCCCACTTTCAGATCAGTATATGACTTTGTGCCATCCCTCATAGACTTTAGGGTGTAACAGAGTGGCAGGTGTAGAATCTTACTTTTTAATAGAAGCCATTATTGGCATTTCAAGGATAGTGTAAAGTTACACATAAGTCAATTGGGAAAGTTCAGAAAAGCTAGATACCATATACAGGTAAAAAGATTAGAAATCATATAACACTTGGTTCCCAGCCTAGAGTTGCAAACTGGCTCTTCTGATGGCTGTTCTTCAACAAACATGTATGGAATTCCTAACTTTGGAGGTCTGAGGGAAGATATAAATTTGTATCATGCAGGAAACCAGGTATGAAAATAACCCTCCAAATTCAAGGCCTTACCTGCCTTTGGAGCACATAAGAGGGAACAATTAATTCTGGTAATAAAGTCATGAATGTCTCTACAGTATTTGGTTCCGGGCAAAAAGGCTAACTCTGCTGACAATAAATGCTGGAAATGAAATCTACACATGAATGCCTTGAGCTATGAAAACTAGCCCAGGAAAGCCCCACTGCTTTAGGGCAGGCCAATTCAGAAGCACCACACAGAGCTTTCCTGGAGTGTTAGTTACTGAGGCTCTGTGTGGTGTTTTTTGCATGGATGTTTTAAGCATCTTTTCTTTTCATCCCAATTTATCTTTCAAGACACTCTGGTAATGAGAAGGGAATAAGCATTCTAAAGCTATGTCTTTGTTATGCCAGACTTTCTACTAAAACTGGAAAATTGAGGCAGGGCAGTTGTTTTCCTATAGGTAGATATGCGGTCTTTTGGAATTCTAACAGTTAAGATAGTGCCTAGACAGTCCTGGTTTTAGTTCAGATGTGTTGGGTTTTGGGGAAAGCATCTCAGAATGAGAAAAGAAAGACTTTAAAATGTTCTAGAAACATGGTCTTAGTTCATCTGCGAGACAGGGAAAATAAAAATAGAGAAAGAAAAAGAAAGAAAAAAAATTCCTGACATCTCCAACTCCCTGGTTTTTAGGTAGACAATTTTCCCAGCACTCTCAAACAGAAACCAAGAATAGAGCTAAGACAAAAATGGAACCATCTTCTCTCATTCCTAGCTATTAAAACACAATACTCCTTAAGAATAAAAGTAATATTCTGCCTTTCCTGAAATATTATCCCCATCCCTGCCCTTCTCCCTTGCATTTCTAGTATCCCCAAAGAATAATCCAGTTATTTTGATAAAAACTGTCAGGAATACAGTGGAGTCAAATGTAAGTTCTAAAATTTATTGAGAACCTACTATGTGAAGGTTACTATACCTAGAGCCATCATCATCAAACATATATAATCTAACTTAACCCTTGTAGGTGGCCACCTTTTACTAGTATTCTGATCTCCATCTTACCAAGGAGGAAATTGAAGTACACAGTGGTTAAGTAACTTGCTTGAGATACCCAGCTACAAATGGTACACATGAAATTAAAACCCAGGTCTAGTGAATCCCAGATCCCAGACTGTGAATCCTTACACACAGCACTCCCCTTCCACCAGCAAACCCTACCATATTTACTTTTTCCTTTGAGAATTCTGCAAAAAGCAAAAGGATCTGAAAAAACAAACACAGCAGCCCATTCTAAACTGATTGAGATTCTATACAAATTAAATCCTTTATCTTAATTGCTTTTTGTAAATACAGCCTCCCATTAGAGTTGAACTTTTAGAAGCCTTTACTTTCTGAGCTCATTTTAATCTTTATAAGTACTCTGGGCAGTAAGGGAGCTGTTTCTTTCCCTGTCTGACACCTAGGAAACTGAGACACAGAACAAGTGACTCTTACAATAGAACTACAAAGATAAGTCTAAAATTCGAAATTATCGACTCTCAGATCCCAACTCTGTCCACCTAACCAAACTGTGTCTAACTCTGTGAAGCAGTTGAGAAGCCATATGCTTGGCCCTTACCTTAGTGCCTGGAACAGAGTGGAGGCTCAATAAATAATCAGTGAATGAATGAATGAATGAACAAATGAATAAACAAATGAGTGAATGAACACCAACCCAGTAACCACCCAGTCTTCTTTGGCATCTTTACCCTTATCTTAAACATGGGGAAACATGCTAAAAATCAAGTGACTCTTCCACAATCTCATGACTAGTTGCTGATTGAACTAAGAGCGCAGCCCAGTGTTCCTGACTCCCTGCTTAGGTACCCGCAGCTTCTATTTACCCAAATGGGAGCAAGCTCTTGCTCCTTCAGATTAGTTCTGTGAATCATTCCAGCACTGAAACATTTAGCAGCAAATTGAACAAATGTGAAGTTATGCTTGCAGGCTTCCATAGAAAGTACAACAGAGAGTGTGAACAGATGAGACCTGGACTGTCCAAACTGAAGTCACTAGCTGCTTCTCATCCTGTGTCCCCAGTAGAATGGAACAGGGATTTCATGCATGGCCTTGAGTTGTGTCCTATAAAGAGAAAATGCTCTCTGAGGTGATTCTCTCCTCACCAGTACTTACCTTGTCACATCCATATGCTTGAATAAGGCCATCTGCTTTTTACAATTTCTTCTCTTAAGCAAAGGCTAAAATTTGCAGGAAAAAGGGCACAGACATTGTTAAAGTACCAGCTAGTGTAGACAAACATGTTTTGGGGTCTGGAATCTTGCTGTTCAGCGTGTGTCTGGGCACCAGCAGTATCATTAGATGGTAGAGCTCATTCAGAATGCAAACTCTCAGGCTCTATCCCAGTCCCACTGAATAAGGATCTACATTAAAAAAAAATTTCTTAACATTTATTTATTATTGAGAGACAGAGCATGAGCATGGGAGGGGCAGAGAGAGGAGGAGACACAGAATCTGAAGCAGGCTCCAGGCTCTGAGCTGTCAGCACAGAGCCCGACACAGGGCTTGAACTCACGAACGCAAGATCATGACCTGAGCCGAAGTTGGATGCTTAACCGACTGAGCCACCCAGGCACCCTAAGGATCTACATTTAAACAAGCTGTTTCCTATGCAGGGGATACATATGCACTTGAAGGTTTGGGAGGTAGTGGTCGGGAAGCTTCTGATGGTAGTTGGTAATGATGATATTTTTCATTTGCCTAGATACCCTTTAATAGACGCATTTGCTGAAGGTATTTATTTTATATACACTTTTGTCATGCTAACTGTAGGCCAATCACCAGTCTAGCATGTGGGATGTACTATTTCACTTAATTCCCATGACAACTCAATGAGGTATTAACTATTATTACTATATTACAAATGAGGAAAATGAGGCACAGAGTAATTAAGACATGTACCCAAGGTCCCACAGCTAGGAAATGAAATCACCAGGATCTCAGGGCAGAGTCTGGCTCCAGAATCTGTGCTGTTGAGGACTCCTGAAGTCATCCTAAGCTCTACAGACTACACCCTAACCTCACAACTAAAGCCTATCAAAACATGTTCAAGAGTAACTTGGCTTTTCCTGTCTAGGAGAGTTAACTACACATTCTCTGAAATGGTGAGTTTCTAAAATTCACAAAAAAACATTTTCAGTGTTCTATTTTTTAGAAGTCCTATTGGAACTGAGCTGTTAAAATACTATTAAAAATAATAATAATAAAAATAGTAAATTAGTAAATAAACTACCTCTGTTGACCTCCACTAACTTGTCTTTCTTTCTTAGTTCTTGGTTTAAACTAAATCCCTGGAAAATAAATGGGGCCATGAGAGATGTCTTACTTTTGAACTTATTCTAGGGGCCACCATGAGCATTCCTCAAAAAACCAATTAATCCCAACTATTAGCAATGCCACTTTATACTTATTAACAATCACCCTATGAAACAAAGGTCTTTCCTTAACTTGTTTGAATTCCCAGGAATGATGGTTTTTAAGGTTGAGCCATGCAAATATCTGTGTTCCTTTTCCCTACCCACCAACTCCTACTCCCATCCCCCAAATGGTTCAGGTATTCAATTTGTTTAGATCATAAGGAGTGAAGTGAGGGGTGCCTTTTACAGACTTCTGCACAAAATAACTGCAGTAAAGCTTGTGGCTGAATTATTTTCTCATTCTCTTACTGTGCAGAATTTTAGATTTCAGAATAAAGAGCCCTTATTTCTCATCCATCCATCCATTTTCTAAATCTCACAGAACTTTCCCCTGTAGAGAGAAAATGGGAGAGTGAGTTCTGTTTGGGCCTGTATTTCTCAACCTTTGTGAAGCAATGATCTCTTTTGATCAACCTAAAAATTTTGCCCTAAAGTTTCTTACTTTCAACTTGGTCATCCCTTCCCTATTCACTTGATGGAAACTTCCTGATGTATCATGCCAGAGAAGATTTAGTCTAGATTTTGGAAGATTTGCTTTCCGTGGATGGTGTTATAGAAACTATAAGGCATTTTTGTTTTCCAAGTATTTCACAGTATAATACTAAGTTGTGTATTCCAGTTCCATGCCAAGCCCCATCCCCAGCCCTACCTCCATGGAGACTGAGCTACATCCCCTCTTCTATCCTAAGAATCACTGAGAGAGCAAGTCCATAGGTGACCCCTTCCTCTGATCCCTCCCCAGCCCTTAATACTCTTGCCCTATTTCCTCCCTCTCTTTCCTTTGGTCCTTCTTCATTTTCCATTTCTTGGGCTAATTGTCCCCTTACTGATTTCTGTTTCTCTCTTTTCTCTCTCTAACTGCTTTTCAACTTTGCTACCATTGTTGGAATGTAGAGTAAAGATGCTGGTATCAGGACTTTGGTTATGTTGGATGAACAAGGAGGTAAGTTGAGATTTCTTCAGTAAGAACAATTCCTCATCTGAATAAAGTGCATTTTCAGAAAATTATTTTTGCATACACAGGTGGTCCTTTTGACACGTGTTACACGCATGTAGGAATATGAGGGTTCTAGAGTTTTTATCGTCTTGCTTTTTTCCCTTTCTTTGTTGAAAACACTAGTAAATGTATGGGAGTATTGAGGCCTTCATGACCGATTGAATGTTACTACTCTCCCTGTTATATATGTTGGAATAACAGAATTTTGAAGGCAAAACTCATGTGTTTGTATTTTCTTTTAATGGTAGTATTTTGGACGGTTTGAGAATTCTCTGATTCCCCCTTTAGTTTCTTGTAATAATCCCTAGATAGAATGAGAGAATAGTATATCACATTGTCCATTTCTTCTGACCATCCTAATTCAGTGTCTGGCAGTTTTGATTTCCACGTCATCATGAGGATTCCTTAAATAACTAGAAGCTGTCTTTAACAGGATAGAAGCTGAGGGAGATTATTGGAAAATGGGAAATTGAACCACTTAAAATATTTAAATTGTTTTTTAAATTATTATGGAAGTGCTAGAAGCAATGAAAATCAGAGTATCGAGGAAAATCATCTCTGTACTCTAAAGTGGAAGCTAGAAGGGTAATATTTTTTTTCTCTCAATACATCTAGTCATATGGCAATTTTTATTTAATGCTAGTCACAAGTTAGTTACCTGATTCTATTCTGAATTCTTATCATAACAAACAAATTTTTGAGAACTTTTTTCTTGTTATTTATATTTTTGAAAACATTAGAAAATTCTTAGGAATCATGAGAAAAATTTTTTAATGTCAAAGATAAAAACGTAAGATGTATTCACAACATGGGACACCACAAGCCAACTTCTGAAATAAATGAACCTCAAAGGAGGTTCGTACAGCAATACAGATAGCAGATAGCAGACTCAAGGCATTTCCGTAAAATACAGACAGACCTGCATATCATCAAAGAAAAGGGCAAAACCTACAAGCAAAATGGATTTAAGATATAAATAAATTGTCAATTTATAAATAGACGTATGAAGCCATGCCTGAACCAACAACAATAATGAGGTGCCACTCTTTAGAACAGACTGATACAAATTTTTAAAATTGATAATCACCAATGCTGTGAGTGTTTTGATAACACAGAGATTCTCAATGGACAGATAGGCACTGTAAACTGATAAAAATTTTTGAAGAGTAATGTCATGATCCTTTAAATTATGAAGTGCACACATCTTTGACCAAAACATTCTACTTCTAGAATTATATGCTGTAGATATACATTGACAGCTATAAGAAGAGAAATATACATGCCTAACCTATAATAGTGTAAAACTGGAAACGGCCTAAATGTCTATCAGTGGGGAGAGCAACCAAATTAATTATGTTCTGGCCATAAAGAAATATTCTGCAATCATTACACTAAATGAGATAAATCTTTACCAACTTCTGAAGAGTTAGGGCTGGGACATGGAGGAACTAGTGGAAGGTATCATTTGGGATCCTCTGGGAAGCAGATGCTAAGAATCAGAAGTGTTTGAGATCTATTATGGACACCTGTGATGAGTCAAGAGATGAGGAGCAGGAGTAGACAGGGACAGCCAGCCAGATTGACACAGGTCTGACACTTGTAAGAGGAATGGAGGGGAGGAGGTTTGGGGAGGAAGAGTCTCAGACTGCAATACTGCTCTGAGAAAGTGTCAGCCAAGCTGACGGGGAGCCCAGTAGCTAAGATAACCTAATGATAACCCTGTGATGGGCAAGAATACCTCATCTTTAGTGATTCCATTGTGCTCAGCTCTAGGCTAGAAGCGTCCCAGGGATGCTTGAAGCATGGTCTCCATGCAATTGCTTTGGCGGATCCCATAGGTGCATCAGCTAGAGATGTGAACTAACTACAAATTACCTCTTGAAGAGAGTTCTGAGGGGCACATCTTCATGACTGTCATATAAAGGCTTTTGTTTCTATATTATGTATTTGTATTGAACTTTGTCAATAAATAGATACCAACCAATTAAAAAAAAACAAAAGAAAAAGCTTTTAAAAGCAATTTAACATCAAGCCCAACACTTCCCTGCAATTTTTGAAATACGAATTATCAAAAGGTGTATGTAAGTAAGGGAGTCTAGTGAAGTAGTTGTATTTTGAAGGAATTACAGTAGCTGTGGCAATCTTCAGAACTCCCCAAATGAAGTTGTTATAATTGTGAGACTTGCTGACTTGGTCTGTGTAACAATGTGCCAGATTTTGAAACTCAGGACATAGCAAATCATTTTTTAAAAAAATTAAACAGCAGGTCCCCATGTAGAAGAGCAGTACCTCATTTCCAGAGCTAAACTGATACATATATACCCAAATAATTAGGAGTTCCATCTTATTAACTGTTTTTGTTAGTAATTTGTATGTGAAGGGAGTAAAAAAGGGAGAATGATAATTGGAAGGAAGCTTTCAGAAAGGCTCAAGATGATGCTTTTTTTCCCTCCAATATTATAATGCATTGACATGAAGACTTGGAAAATAATACATACAAATGTGGAATCAAGAGAAAGTGGGGCGCCTGGATGGCTTAGTAGGTAGAGCGTGAGACTCTTGATCTCGGGGTTGTGAGTTCAAGACCCACATTAGGCATAGAGCCTACTTAACATTAAAAAATTAAATAAATTTAAAAAGAGAGAAAGCGAATAACATGCTTACTTGAGTTGCAGATTTCATTGCACTTTGATGAAGAAAATCTAGAAATAAAATTTGCCAAAATCTCCACACAAAAATATATTATTCATAAGCACAAATGATTCCCAGGAACATCTATATATTATTCTCTGAGAAAGAAAGCAGAATAATAGATTTCCCCCCCAAGATAGTTAATGTTCTCAGCTCAAACATTTCATTTGTGGCCACATCACAGTAAATGCTGAATTCTTTGGTTAAACATATTTTCTACAATAGTTTTGGTTTTACCAGATGCATGGTAATTACATTGGTACTGAGAAAAAAAACACGCAACTGTAAAACCTCCAAAAGCAAGTGGCTTCTGCCTGGTCTTTAGTGGCACACACGTTCCATTTATACTATAAGGTGATTAGGACCTTTTAAAATGACAGATGAACATATCTTCACAACTATCTTCACTGCCATGGTAAATGCCTTTTAATTCTGTGTATGCTGTGTTTAATTGTTTAGATCAGTAACTGCTTTAAAATGTCTCTCCAGTTATGCTCTACTAATTTTGTCTATGCCTCAACACCAAAAATGTTGATTGCTTCTACCCTGCAGCTGCACAGGAGTTTCAAGAAACAGACATCCTTCTAAAGAACCATTCCAGGTTGTCCAGCCAAAGGCTTGCACTCGGCAATTCTTTATGGGATTCTTGTTTTATACCCAGGTATCAGGAGACACCAAGGAGCACAGAGCATGACAGATGGCCCTGGAAATGCACTGATTCCTGGGACTTTTATTTCTCTAGAAAACTTGTCTCCAAGTGAAATCCCCATGAAACCAACCTCATCACTAATGTGGGCTGATTTAACCTTTCACCTCCGTACTCTTATTCCTTTTGTTGGCCTTTGCTGGGTTATGTGTTTGTTTCAATGCTGAAGACTCCGCTCTTGAGACAATCCCATGGGATCAATTTCAAACTAAACAGGGAGATCTTTGACCTTTGCCTGGCAGAGTAAAAGCAAAGTAAGGCCTCTCCCAGAGTGACTGCCGACTTTCTTAAAAGGTTCGTGGAGGTACAAAGTAGCATTTGAGAAAACATTCCTCTTGCTAAAGTCTACACACCAATATCTGTTATGAATGACTAAAGCTGCACTATGGTAGCCAGTAGCCACACGTGACTATTTAAACTTATTTAATGAATTTCCATATGTTCATCAATGCCAAGGAAAATGAAAATCATGTAGGCAGCATCTGGTAACTGAATATACTCAGGAAGGCTTGCACACTGGGTCAGTAGCATTGACATCTTGCTATTCTTCTACTGTGTGTTTTTAAACCAGGTCGAGGATTCTAAGGGCCTCATGTTGCCTTACTTAAATAAGATTAGTAGGAAAGGTCTCTAAACTTAGATCCCTGAGCATCCTGCCATTGGTGGATCTATCACAAGTAACCAGTCATCCAAACATGGTGAAAGAAAGTACTATCTCTTGCCCCAACATATAGCATCATCTACTGGAATACTGCTCCTAACCCAAAATGTTACTATCTTCCTAGTCTCCAGGAAGAGACAGAAAACAACCAAAAAGCAAGCTTAGGGAGGTCAGGAACAATCAACAATGGACAGTACATTGCATCAGTCAGTTGGATGCTACTGTCCACCCTGGAATGGAATGAGGATATTGATTACTTTCAAGGATTTGCTGAGAGATTCCTCACAGAAATCCATTGAAATTGTATGAAGTCCCAATATGCCAAACATCCACAAACATAACAGTACACTCTAAAAATGAAAAGTTAGAATACCTATGACAAAATGGTTCCACATGTTTTTAATTAAAGGTTTGACTCAATTCGGTAAAATGATCAATTCAACCAATATTGGTAGCTATAACATAGTTTTCTGAATCAACTTTTCCGTAAGAGCTTTGGCATCCCTCTCTTCGCTATGACCTTTGCCTAACAATCTGGCAACCCATGATAGAACCCAGCTTTTAGGAATACCGATTGGGACCAGCCTGTTTGTTTTTATATTTTATTTTGAATTCCTGGTTCAGAAATAACAACACTTGTGGACCAATTCACATTTTTATTTTATTGCCTTTTATTTTTATTACTGCCTAATCCCTGGGGCTATGGTGGGTGGGGCTCCTGAAATGTATTTTTAGCCAAAATATTAACTCAAGAGAAACTCCTTGGGAAGGACAAATGCTGGAATATGTATGTCCATGCCATAATCTGCGTGTATTTCAGCTGGTATTAGTGGAATGCAGCTTGCTTTCCCTCTGAGTCCAGATGTTTTTCAATCCCATCCTAACCCAGCACTCCAGAAAGCTATTATCAATTATTCCATTGGGATTTCTGTCTGTACTTAACATGGTTCTTCTTTTGACAATGTTGAGCTGTGCCTTTCCCTCCCAATCCCCTCATTCAGTAGTTATTATTTTTTTTAATCTGCAGACTAGTTTATTACATTCTTTAACGGGAACTAGAATAAAGTCTTTAGAAAGGTACAGAATCTTCTAGGATGTCAAGAGTTGTCATCAATTTTTTTTAAAGTCTTTTTAAAGATTTTCTTAAAGACATTACTATACCTATACATACTCAGCAAAAGTTCACCAGCACAACACTATTATTTCTTCCAGCTATCCAACACTGGAGAAACACCTAAATTTTGCCTTCATCCATCATTTGAGGTGCATAGCACAGGTAGCAGATTCCAAATAAGCTGGATTCTATCCTTTGTCCCACAAGAGAGAACACAATGGGCTCTTGATTTCCAAATGGACAGTTTCCCCAGTTTGGGTCAGCAAGGAACTTAATCTTCATTTTTTGGAATGATAATCTTCACTCTACAATTTAATGTGAAATTGTTTTTAAATGATTATTTATGCCCTTAGACTGGAAATGTATTTATCAGTTTTATTCTAATCAAGCCTTTATTCCCAGAAGCATGTGTACATGGAAATGTAGATGAAAAGAGGGATGGAAGTGTAATTAGGTTTTGTAACTAGATAGGCATTGCATTGTTCCTTCCCTTTAACAGTCTTAAAAGCTGTTTTAAAAACCCCTTTACTGAACATGTAATTTACTCAATTTGGTGACAACTGTTGAAAAATTAATCAGATTAGTGAATGTAACCCTGGCAACCCAGAAGCACAAGCCGGTTTTATGGCTATCGATCTATGTCTCAGATACACTTGGGTCGGCTTTGCTGGGAGTGATGACTCTATGTTCCAGCCTGCCACCCCTCCTCCAGAGCCCCAAGCATTTGTTTTCCCTGCTGTCTGCCTGGGTTTGGGATCTAACATGCCCCCCATTGTAGAGACTGGGAAATCAAGTGAAATGCCTTCCAGAATTTGCATAGCAAGTAAGTCAGGATGAGAGAGGAATTTAAATGTTCTGGTACTTGGCATATTACTCTGTTGATGTTGACTTTTTTTTTTTTAACAGTGTCTATGGATTAAGTATTCAAAACCCAAAACTGCCCATGGCCTACCTTTGGCTAGACAGCCACTACTAGGGGAAAAAAGATCCGATACCCATTGCTAATTATCGCTGTAATTATTTTCCCCAAAGAAGATTGATTCTGTTTTCTACCTGTACCTGATCGAGGATGCTTAAAGCCAAAAGATAGAGATAGTTAAAATTGAAGCAGATACCTTCTCTAGTGGCATGAAATCTGAATGCCTAAAACATAAGCTAACACCCTGTTTTTCTTTCTCTCGGGTTTCACTGGTGTCTGAGTAAGTGAATATGCTGTGCTGTTTTCCTGGACACTCAGAATCAAACAGGCCTACCTACCCCATCCCATCGTGTCTGAATTACAAACTATTTTGAACATCATTTCTGTTCGTTTCCTTCCACCTATGCCTGTGTAGGGCAGCAGCACCAGTCTACAGCAATGCATCCTCTTGGACCATGCATTGTAATATCTTTCTCTTCCAAATTCCGTTCCACATAGTCATTTCTCATGTTCTGTTGGAAACCCCCAAAAAATTCATTCCACACTGTCATCCCTTTGTCCTAACCAGAACAACTCGATCGTGTTGAAGAAGGCATGAACCATATCAACCAAGACATGAAGGAGGCCGAGAAAAATTTAAAAGATTTAGGGAAATGCTGTGGCCTTTTCATATGTCCTTGTAACAAGTAGGTACTGGGTACCAGCTCTAATCTGTGGCGTCCAGTTTTCTTTCTTTCTTTCTTTTTATTTTTTTCTTTTTTAATGTCAAAGTGAATGTCTGAAGTTTTGTCTTTTTTTCTTTGTCCTTTTCCATCTGCTTCATTCTGTGGGGATAAATTACTTGTGTTTAATCAGAACAACTGGAACGCATTGAGGAAGGGATGGACCAAATCAATAAGGACATGAAAGAAGCAGAAAAGAATTTGACGGACCTAGGAAAATTCTGCGGGCTTTGTGTGTGTCCCTGTAACAAGTAGGTGCTGCCTGCCTGCCTGAAGCTTTGGTTTCCCAAGGCCCATCTCCAAGCCTTGACAAGCTCATTCCTGCCAAGCACAGAGGCAGGATGAGCATGTGGCATGCAGAACAGATCAATACCGTCTCCAATGTATTCATCTCATAGCATAGATGATATTAGTAGGAGTTACTGTTGATGCATTAAAAATCAGGCATACTACAGTGAAAGCTTCACTGTCAGCAACTTTTATTGACGAACGTTTCAACATTTTCCAGAAAGTGTACCTTGAGCCAGAGACCAGCCTCAAGAAAGAGGCGCCCAGGGAATTTTCTTTTCCCCCAACCCCAAAAGCCAAAATTGCAGAGTTAGAAAAGACTGGGGGGTGAGTTTGGAAGTCGAGAAACACATATGTCATGGCTTGATTTTTTGGAAGAAAAAGAGGCCAGTAATTTGGCCTAAGCAAGCATCCGTAAGATAGAGAGTATGAAAGAGATTCCCCCACCAGTTACCAAATCTGTCCAGCGATTAGACTATAGATGCCATAGCTGCACCCACTGCAGAGGCCATGAGCCCTTCAGCAAGAAGTGCTCAAGCTTTACTCAAATTGGACCCATCCCTCCGAAATTCTTCCTCTTGGAAGATCTACCTGTACACTGCCTAAAATGTTGAAATGTGTAGATTTTGCATGCACGACGTCACAAAACATTCAACTGTCCTCCAGGTTCTGCAACGCTTTTTTGGAATGTAGCAGAAATGTGACATGTGGTTATAAAGGTTTGCAACAGAAGGAACCTGAAAATGAGGGTTCTGGAAGATAGTCTCATTTGACTAGCGGTGAAAAAAAAATGCATGAGTGGATTGTCCAACATGCATTTGGAAAATTAAACCCATACCCAATCTCCCTCACTCCTCCCACCTCCCTTTGAACAGAAGCCTTTTTCCTAAAAGCTCTCCTGATCCTAGCTTTTAGAACAGCAATTGATGTTATTTCTAGCTGATTATATGACCATTCACATCCTTTAAACTTTGAGGCTGATTTTAAAATATCCCACTTCCTATTTAGGAGGGGGAGGGGCTCAATTTACAAATAAATTTAAAACTGTTTTAAAAGAATGATCTACGGTAAAGCCTGATTAACTGGAATCTAGCTAACTGGAACCTTCAAATGTATTGATACTTTTGCTTCCATCCACTTTTAGTAAAAAGAGACAATTGAGCAAAGTGGGGGTGGAAATCACATCAGAGACTTAAAATGGTTTTCCTTGAAGGGCAACCTGGGAAGTTTGCATTCTGCCACTCAGTCTACATCCTATAACTTCCATACCTAAGGGAACCAAACAATAAGAGTTGATCTTCAGAAGAAAGGCCATCAGGCACATCAGGAGAAACTATAACCAAGGAAAAAGTCAGTCATGTTCACTACCCTAAAACTCTAAAGCAGGAAAGTGGCTTGAGAATCTAACAGATATTCAACAATCACCCCTGAAACAAAATTTTCCTCCATGGCCCACTGTTAATTAAGAAAGGCATTTAATTCACCAAGATGACTCATTGCTATGCATTCCAGTTAGTCAAGATTTACCTGTATATCCTTTTCAGTGGCCACTTGTCCCTCCAGGTGAGATTTCCACCTGTTTTGTTGTGAATTCCAACAGATACAATTTCCCCATTCTTCAACTGTGTGGAGAAAGTGTGGAGGCAGGCCCAACCCCAGTATGGATTCTAATGTTCAGATGAAACGATGGCCCCTACGAATTCCACATAGTAGTTGGCACTAATTCCTTATTGCACAAGAGACCCTAACTGAGCTTCAAAGCTTGACTGAAGTGTTCCCTATTGTGTGTAAATAATGCTTTAAAAACCATGTGTCACAATGCAGTGGCTGGTGGTGCCCTGGACTCTCTGAGGGCTTCGCCCTGTCTCAGCATGTTTCGAAGGACTATGGTAGATGTACGGCAGTTATGTGAGTCTATGTGCAGCATTGTGGGTGCAGTGATTCGCCTTCTTTCAGAAACGCAAACTTTCCCACCCCCTTGACTTGGCCAAAGATGGTATACCAGATATTTTACATAGCAGAAAACATCACAAGGTCCATATAACTTCTTTTAATGGGAGGAGGGAGGGGATGGGGAGTTGGAAAAAAACAAAGCCAGACTCTGAGCTCTATTAAATTAGTTTTTGGATGCTGTCCCACTGAGTGGGCCCATGGCTCTTTAGCACAGTAAATTCTGACAGCTCAGGGCTGTGGCGTTATACACTAGATTGTGGGAATTGCTGAAATTCCATTTGTACAATTTTCCAATTTATCTCCAGTGTTGCTTGGTTCTCAATCTGCAAATATTAGTATTAGAGCCAGTTTTAATAGATGGCTGTGATTCTCCAGTGCATGAAAAAAAGGGGGGGGGGAGGGCTAAATTCTGTTGTCTTATAATGGAAAATGTGAACATGGGACCAAAGGAAACTCTCTTGTTTTTTGGATGAAAAAGCATATGGTTTCTACTATGCAAAGAACCTAAAAACATCTTTGATTGCCTTAATCCAACACACCCACCAAAATATGCTGCACATGTTTCTATTGGGCACAACAGGTATGCCTGGATTTTAAGTTTATCTCCAAGGCAGCTCAGTGAAATATGGCCCATGGAGACCACACCAGTTCCAGACCACTCTCCCCTGTCACGCCCCAGGATAGCCTGAAGTAGGAGTTTGTAATCACTCCCACCCTGCCCACCCCCAGCCTGACAAAGAAGCTACTGAACCTGCGTTTCAAATCCTCATGAAGGCTATTACTGTCCTGCTAGTGCCTTTTTCGAGAATGGTCAACTCCTGGAGTAGTTTGGCTTAAATGAGAATGCTTCACTTTCTACTCATGCCTGTAGCTGGTGCATGAAGAAGACATAGAGGGATTTCCTTTTCTGGTGCTAGATGGCTTGTTCTCTCTTCTATTTTCCTGCATTCATTTCACTATGCCTCTTTTACTTTTTGTCTCTGTGGACAAAGGTTTGTACATCAACTAGATGTATAGTGACTGTTTGGAAGTACCGATATATTATCTAATTCAAATCACACTAGAGGCAACTCGAAGACCACCACCCTTGGCCAACCACCAGTCCATTATGTCCTTCATGCAGAGTTGGAATAGCTAGTTCTGTACATGCATTGGGGGGAAAATTAAAACAGGGAATCTGCATGATGGTGTGTAAAAACTCAGTCAAGTGTGTTTTTCTTGATGACAGTGTGTTGCTGTGGTGTGATGTACACACTCTACTTGGCAGTCTTGTTATGTGTCTGTCTGCCAGTATGTTTTTCTGTGTGTTTTGTGTCTCAAAATATAACCATGCCACTGAAATAGAACTGAATGTCCTCCAGCTACCTTAATCTTTGTCTTAAATCCAACGAAACTGCAAAAAGAAACCAAAACAAGAACAACCTTTGGGGCAAAGGTTACAGTCTAGACAATTGCAATTGGCTCAATTGGAAATGAAATGCTGAGTAGCTGAGGCATGGTGGTGGCCAACTGTTTCGGTCCAGATTATGATATATCGGTATTCTCTAATGCCTCAAATTAAAACCCATTTGCTTGGTTCGGTTCTTCGCTTGAAGAGGTAACCATTGTTGTGAGCTTGATGCTCCACCCCCTTGCCTTGTCACTCACCCTCTCTTTTGCATAGGCTTAAATCAAGTGATGCTTACAAAAAAGCCTGGGGTAATAATCAGGATGGAGTGGTGGCCAGCCAGCCTGCTCGTGTGGTGGATGAACGGGAGCAGATGGCCATCAGTGGTGGCTTCATTCGGAGGTGAGCTGTGTGCAGCCAGTCCTATAGCAGTTATCTATTATTGAGTAACAAATCACCCCAAGCTGAGTGGTTCTTAAAGCAACAACCATTTTACTGGTTACTTATAAATATGTATGTTGGCTGGACAGTTCTTCCAAGAGCCCCTCTTGGGCTCCCTCATTACATGCAGACTGGCGCGGGATCACCCAAGATGGTCTCACTCATTTGTCTGTTGGTTGGCTGGGCAGGGCACCTCATTCTCTTCCGTGTAGTCCCTCCAGCAGAAAAGCCCTGGTTTCTGACGTCGTGGTGGCAGCATTCCAAGCATTGTGCTCCAATGCACAAGCACTTACCACAAACCTTGTCAGCTTTGCCAGTTTCATCAGACAAAGCAGGTCATGTGACCACATCCAGTATCAGTGCAGCAGAAAATGGGCGTCTATCTCATTCCACAAACTTAATTGAACAGAACTTACTAAAGAGATTGTTTATAGAGGCATGGGCAGGGCTAATAACAAGCAATAGTAAATCACTTGTGGACTAGCAGCAGCAGGAAGAGTCCTAAAGGGACAGGAGCTATTGTTAGAACCTGACAATAGTTACCACTGTGGGTGAGAGACTGTAGAGAAATGCAGCTGTTGCAAAACCAGCAGGAAACGAGAAAGGGAAATAAGTGCCCTCACTCCTGTCTCCTCTTGCCCTCCAGTATCTCACTGGTCACCACCAAAGTCTAGCTGGAGGGTAAGAGAAGCTGGGTGATGTAGTTGTAGAGAGGCCAGCATCTCTGGGGAGAGAGCAAAACCAGTCAAACAATGGATCTGGGGGTACAAATAGAGAATAACAAGCATACCTGACTTCTTATTTCCTTTGAGACCTGGAATCAAAAGCCAACTTAAATACCCATTTAAAAATCTCAAATTACACAGATCTGCCTATCCAGAATTCAGCTCTCAGGAGACTAGGAAACAAAATAATAATGACAAATATCCCTGTTGTTAAAAAGAAAAGGGGGAAAAAAAACCGATTCCCTTTTACAGGCTACTATGGAGCACAGCAGTGACTAGGGTACCATTGACTAGAGTGGTGTACAGATAGTTACACATCTATCTGTTCCTGGACCATTGTAGCTGATATTACCAACCAATAATCCAGATTCAAGTGACAGCTTACTGTCACTTAGGTATAAGGTCTATAAAGCCTCATAGTTGACAATTCTATTCTTGCTTCTATTTGCTCCCAGGGAAACTAGACCAAGCGTTCTCAATCCTGGGTGCACATTAGAGTACCTGAGGCGATTTTTTTTAAAACATCGGGACTTGAGCCTAACCTACACCAACTGAATCAGAATCTCTAGTAGTGAGACCCAGGCATGTGTGGTTTTTAAAGCTCAGGTGATTTGTTGAGAATCATGGAACTAGAAGTAGGCCTTAGCTGTTGATGATCATTAAAATAAACTTTTATGTTAAAAAGCTAGGAAGTTCTCCTTTAATTTCCCCTGGTCTCGTCTGCTTTAAAAACTTTAATGAAACAGTCAACTCTGGAGGTTACCATGGGGAATGGGTTTTTTACTCCTCTGGACATTTTTAGGCTATCACCATCTGCAGTGGTAAAATGTTAATTAGCCAGTACATTCTAGAATGAGTACTTACCACTTGCAATAAAGAGCTACTACCTTTGTAACTTTCAAGCTGAGCTATGAAAAAATGGCAAGATGGTAAGGCACTTTGAGAGCCAACTCCTTCCTCCCCAAAATGGGACAATAATCTTTTATCGCAATTTCTTCCCTTGAAATCACCCATTTGCAATGCCACCAAAACCCCCATTGCATTGAAATCTGAGCAAATAGAAATCATCTTGAACAAGTGGCTCCCTTTGGAGTTCTTGGGAGCAAGCTGGATTAAGGGGCAGACTGTAATTATCATTACCCTTCCCATGGATGTTTGTTCCAAATGGGGAAGAACATGAGCAGAGAAATTCTCTGACTTAACACAATAAGCCTTTTCTTTCATTCTAAATTTAACTCTTGGAGACGTTGGTTGACATTCAGAAGGAAAATACAGTTTCTAACTAGTTCCATCTTCATTCTCCGACTTATAATGCTCCCAACTAAAATGACTTTATTCTTAAAAAATGAAACTTGAGATAAACATATGAAGAGAGGAAGCGATGAGCTGGAGGAAATGAGAGAAGCAGATAATCTATTTAATATGCCTTCTTTATAAACTCAAGCGTTCAAAAATGAAATTTAAAGATTATTTTCTATCGTAGGGGCACCTGGCTGACTCAGTCAGTGGAACATGTGACTCTTGATCTTGGGGTTGTGGGTTCGAGCCCCACGTTGGGTGTAGAGATTACTTAAATATTAAAAAAAATATTTTTGGGGTGCCTGGGTGGCTCAGTCGGTTAAGCGGCCGACTTCGGCTCAGGTCATGATCTCGCGGTCCGTGGGTTCGAGCCCCGCGTCGGGCTCTGTGCTGACAGCTCAGAGCCTAGAGCCTGGAGCCTGTTTTGGACTCTGTGTCTCCCTCTCTCTGACCCTCCCCCGTTCATGCTCTCTCTCTCAAAAATAAATAAACGTTAAAAAAATTAAAAAAAATTATTTTCTAATGTATAAAAGCTAAAATGTTCTCATATTGAACAGAGTGAAGGTAGATAGGATTGATACCTAGGCGTCTACAGATTTTCCCTAAGCTTTGAGTCCTTGGTGTTTGAGATTTTTCTCACATTCTACCTTCTAAAAATTGCCATTTTGACTCCCAGGGTAACAAATGATGCCCGAGAAAATGAAATGGATGAAAATCTGGAGCAGGTGAGCGGTATCATTGGGAACCTCCGTCACATGGCCCTGGATATGGGCAATGAGATTGATACACAGAATCGCCAGATCGACAGGATCATGGAGAAGGTAAGCTTGTGGCAGTTAACAAGTTTCCACTGTTCATTACTTCTTCTGAAATAACCACTGAGGAAGGATGAAGGACATAATAAGACCCTCAAGCCATGATACTGGGTTCAGGCACACCAATAGGTGGAAGTTTCCCCTTATTTTCCAAGACACAAATTCACCAACATATAAGTAAACAAGAGGGTAGAATCTAGCAGATATTCCTATTTCAAGCATTGTGCTAGGCACCAAAGGACATAAATATGAGAAGGACATCATCCCCACTAGTAAGAAACTCACAGCCTATGGGAGGCAGTGAGCCTCCAGATGAATTTATATAATTTGCCAAGAGAGCCACACATAAAATTCAAAGTCGGGTTAGATGAGGGAAGATTTCAAGAGTTAAGTTATAGGACAGTCTCCCAAATAAAAGTCAAATTGAGCCTTGAAGGTTGGTTAGGAGCTTGTCAAGAGATGATGTAGGAATATAATCAGGAAATATGGGAAAGAGTACTTACTTTAGTTTAACCAGAAAATGAATATGAGCTTTGATTTTATAAATGCCAAAGCTTTCATGATAGTTCAAAAAGGCCCACATTCCTTTTCTAGTTCAGCAGTTCACATGTCCAGATCTCAAAATAGAGAGCATAATCTGGTGAAGTTGAATTCACACAAGGACACCAGATGTGGCTCTAAGACTGAACCCCCTGGTGTCAACAAGAGGCATAAGGAAAAGTGGAGAGAATAGAATGGGAAGGAATGGGTTTGGGGGCTTGAGATTGGAAAAGAACAGAAAGAAACACTGGGTAGCTTTTATAAAAAGATTTGGGGCACCAAAACCTGATATCCCACACTATACAAATCTGACATACTTTCTATGATCTTGTATTCTGTCCCCTCCCCAATCAATAGAGTCCTGAATATTGCTTATAATCTCCTAAAATGTCAAAATGACAACAGGAAGAAATAGATACATTATAAGTTTAGTGGCCATCATGCATCTATAATCAATTCTAGTTGGCTAATCTTATATTGTATGACTTTATTCCCTGGAGGATGTTGAAGTTCTGAGCCTGAAGCCCTGAGTTTCTTCTAAATAATTCATTCCACGTTGGTGAGCAGAGAAGGATGCTTTGAATCAGAAGGCTAAATACTGAGTTTCTTGGAACCCAAGACTTGAAAAAGGAAGTAGACATAAAGGGAATACTTTGCCTTATTGTGCTCTATGTGCCCCATATTAAAAATATCTGATTGCATAATATTTTGCCCGATCAATATTGAGCTATATAAATGTCAGTGCTGGTTAGCAAAAAGCTTGTGCTTTGCTGACTTTTGCAAGTCATGACATACTTATCCTTGCTAAGAGCCTTTGATATGCTAAAGCTTTTAAAGCTGTGCAAATCAATAGATTTTACAACAATATTGAGAGTTTCAAAAAGCACTGGAGCCAACACAGACTGACCTGCCCATGATGGCCCAGAAAAATGAACTAAGAAATAATTGCTGAACCACCTTCCATCAGGAAATGATTTGAAAAAACAAGAAGTACTCATTTTCTGTCAATGGACCCAATTTACTCACGGATGTAGAGAGATAATGTACCTCTAACTCAATTAGAGTTCCAGAAGGAGAACTTTTACTAAGAGAGAGGGGTCAAACCTTTATTGATGGAGTTGGACTTTAAGCACAAAAAGTGTTCCTGGAAAGGCAAGTGGCATCTTAATTTTGCCACTTTGCATTTCTAGTTCTCTTCTCTAGGGAAAACCTTTCATTTGGGGCCCAATTTACTACAAGGACAAAGACATATGCAGCCATGAGGTATAATTGGAAGGCAGGCAAGTGGATGGGAAATAGCCGTTATGGTTTGTATCATCCTTTTAGGTGTGGAATTGCTTAAGAAGTGAGAGAGGGGTTTAGTTGCCTTCGAATAACCAGCCTGGGTCTTACTCCCCAATTCATAATCTAAACATGATTAGATAGAGTCCATTTCAACCCAGCGTTGCCCCAAATGATACATGTTATATGAGCTGCACAATTATTAATAGACTTCTACCTTCTCATGTAAATTCTCACTTCTGATAACAGGTAACAGTTTAGAAGGTCTCCTGCATATTTAAGAGTAAATTAAAATCACACTGTAAGAGTAAAGAGAATCCTCTGATGTTTCTCCCATATTCTCTCATGACCCCAACAACAACCTTCTCCCTACCCCATCAATCATGATCCTTTCTCATCACTTGGATTGATAGTGAAGTTTGGGAAGTCCAAAACAATGTAATTTTTTTTATGTTTATTTATTTTTGAGGGAGAGCAAGCGAGCATGAGTGGAGGAGGGGCAGAGAGAGAAGGAGTCAGATGAGGCAAAGTGGGCTCTGTACTAACAGCAGAGAACCCCATGTGGGGCTCGAACTCACAAACTGTGAGATCATGACCTGAGCTGAAGTGGAACACTTAACCACCCAGGTGCACCCAAAGCAATGTAATTTTAATACGTCCCCGTGGACTGTCAAGAAATTACTTTGTCTATTTAAAAACCTTGCTTTCTGCTTTGAGTTATTTATATATATACAATCTTCTAAGGTTAAAGTGGTACAGTTCTTTCAGAAAACTACTAAAATGGGGCAAGTTTATATTAGTTGTTTTATGTTGCTTAGGAAGTAGTGGTATTCAAACTTTGAATTTTTTTTAATGTTATTTATTTTTGAGAGAGAGAGAGAAAGAAAGAGAGAAAGCATGAGTGAGGGAGGGACAGAGAGAGAGGCAGAGAAGCAGGCTCCAGGTTCTGAGTTGTCACCAAAGAACCTGACGCGGGGCTTAAACCCACAAACTGTGAGATCATGACCTGAACCGAAGTCGGACACTTAACCAACTGAGCCACCCAGGTGCCCCAGTATTCAAACTTTGATTTAAAGTTGTCAGTGTTGGTGGTAGGGGCAACTGGGTAGCTGGGTTGGTTGAGTGATTCTTGATTTCAGCTCAGGTCATGATCCCAGGGTCATGGGATCAGGCCCCACACGGGGCTCTGTGCTGAGTGTGGAGCCTGCTTGGGATTTTGTCTCTGTCTCTGTCTCCCTCTGCCACTCTTTTCTGCTTGTGCATTCTCTCTCTTTCTCCCTAAAAAAAAAATTAAAAAAAAAACCAACAAGAAAGAAAAAAAGGAAGAAAGTATCTAAAGTTGTCAGCAGTAGATGCCACACACACAGTGAAATACAGTGAAGCTGAAGCTTTTAGCATTCCTTGAATTCTCCTATCAATGAGGAAACACAGCATTTGAAAACTAAGACCTCAGGTTCCAACAGCACTCACCAGCTTCGTGACCTGATTTTTTCATCTGGAAGATAATAAGGAACCAGTTCAAACCTCAGATGAGAATGGGCTGCCATGTAGGGTAATAAACATCTACTTCTGGCATTCTGAGCAGGGGCCTAAAAGCTACCTGCCATGGTCTGAAGCTGATATTTCTAGAGTGTTCAGAAGGGTGGTGGGCTAATGAGCTCCTTCTAATTCTTACTGGCTCAGTGGGGGGCGGGGGGGGGTCATCCTTGCTTTCTCACAGGGCAAATCATGTAGCATATTGGGTATGCCAGCAAGCTTAAGATTCTCTAAATAGAAATGTGAAAACTGGGGTGGGCTATATTCCATAAATACAGTCCTAAAGCATATAAACAGAATGAACACAGGCATTCTCCAAATACCAGGAAGACATCTAAAAGGAGATTACCTCAGGATTTTTTTCCTAAAAGATCCTATTTCTGTTATACAATAAAGAGGTAGAACCTTTTGCATCAGATATATGGGCTTGAATTTTGATTGCTTCAGAGAAAATTTAGGTGGAAATCACAGATGTTTATTGAACATAGGTCTGTTCCAGAACCTTTGACGATATCCAAAGAATAACCTCATGTTATACTTCAAAATATCCCTTTTCACCACCAGGTGAAGGCTCACCAGTGCATTCTTTTTTTTATTTTTTATTTTTTTATTTTAAAAAAAAATTTTTTTTTCACCCTTTCTTTATTTTTTTTGGGACAGAGAGAGACAGAGCATGAACGGGGGAGGGTCAGAGAGAGAGGGAGACACAGAATCGGAAACAGGCTCCAGGCTCTGAGCCATCAGCCCAGAGCCTGACGCGGGGCTCGAACCCACAGACCGCGAGATCGTGACCTGGCTGAAGTCGGACGCCTAACCGACTGGGCCACCCAGCCGCCCCACCAGTGCATTCTTAATGCAAGAGTTTCTACAATGTTTACCTCCAGAAATGCCACCCATTTTCAAATGAATGATTTTCTTCATTTGAGCTTTCCTCAGTGTATAGTCTGGAAAAAAATAGCATAATTCAATCTGCAGGAACATTTCACACTGCTCTGAGCCTTTAATTTTCCTTTGCACCAAAGGGTCATTATTTCTGATAGAATTTATAGCTAAAGAGGGAAGATTTAAGAACCAAGTAAAATTGGAAAGAATACCTATTTTCCAAATCAGTAAACTAAGGTCCAGAATATGAGTCTATAGATCAAAACAATCAAGGCAAATTAATGTTCTTACCTGTTTTGAAAGTCAACTTTTGGTTATCCAAACAGATGGTAGGAAGCTATTGCCAGATAATTCAGAATTACAGTAATCTAGCAATATTTGTATTTTAACTTGGCAAATTTCTAGTTGAATGTTGGTAACTCTAATTGTGCTGGGAATTCACAATTAAACTGAATAAAGAATATCCAATTTGGTGGAGGCAGGAAAGTACCAAGTACCATAGTAGATGCAAAATCAGTAATCAGTGAATAAATACTGGTTGATAGAAAAACAGTTGTTTCCCACACTGCCTCTCGGCTTCCTGCTTCTCTTCTGAGGCTGGGGAGGGGCAGACACCATTACCAATCACGCTGGGACAAAACAACAGCCTAAACAGAATCTTCATATTTGCCTCTGCTTGCTGACTCATACCTTTCTCAGTGGTGTTGGGAATACTTCATTTTCTGGGGTTTAAAAGTTTATTATGGTAGCAACTCTGGGTTTCATGCTATATATACAGCAAAAGGTAACCCAGGCAGTGAGATCAGTCAAGGCACAAAATTATGATAAAAGTCCCCTTGTTAAAACAAGTCAACGAATTATAAGGGGCACCTGGCTGGTTCAGCCAGTAGAGCATGTAACTCTTGATCTTGGGGTCATGAGTTCAAGCCCCATATGGGGCGTGGAGCCTACTTTAATAAAAAAAAAAAAAAAAAAGGCAATTATCAGGCTTACAGGAGTGAGTCTTCAGAAATGAGGCCTAAAATATTTTTTTTGTATTTATTTTTGAGAGAGAGAAAGACAGAGGTGAATGGGAGAGGGGCAGAGAGGGAGACACGGAATCCAAAGCAGGCTCCAGGCTCTAAGCTGTCAGCACAGAGCCCGACGCATGGCTCAAACTCACAAACCATGACATCATGACCTGAGTTGGAGTCGGACACTTAGCTGACTGAGCCACCCAGGTGCCCTGAGGCCTAAAATTATTAAACATCCCTAAAACAAGTCAAGTTTTCATCCAATTACTATAATTTTAAGATAAGATATATTGAGTACTTAATCTTTGTAAAAAATTATTCTAACATATTATATATATAAACTCATTTCATTTTCACAGCAGACCTAGGTACTATAATGATTAACATAATGATTACCAGTGTGGACTCTGACTCCAGGCTGCCTGGTTTCCTCATTGGGAAAAATGAATTAATAATAATATAAAAGAATTAATAATAATATACATCTCACAGTTGATATTAATCTTGATGTTGTCAAAGTTGAATGAATGGGATATAATAGACACTCATGGTTGTTAGCAATATTCTTTTTTATTCCCAGCTTATGGACAAGAAAGCTGAGGCCCCAAGATGTTATGTAATTGGCCCAAAATGATACTGCTAATAAGGTAGCCATGATTTGAATCCAACTGTATAAGTGGTGGTAATTCAACTCAATCCAACAGATGTGAATACCTAACATAGAAGTCATTGGGTGTCATTCCAGGATAGAAAGATAAATGATGTAACACTGTCCTTAAAAGGATAACCTCTGGTAGATTTAAACAGTCATGAGAGCTAAGATCAAGCTTCTTTGATCATGTCTAAGTAGAGCCACAGGAAATGGTTCGGGAATCACAAGAGAAGAGAGGGTTAATTCTGACTGGGGGAGTTTCAAGATGCCTTCATTCAAGAAGGGGGCACTTCCATAGACCAAGAAGGAAGAATGGAATGTCAAAAGGTAACCTGAATTCTGTTTTCTTTTCCCTTTTTCTAGGCTGATTCCAACAAAACCAGAATTGATGAGGCCAACCAACGTGCAACAAAGATGCTGGGGAGTGGTTAAATGTGCCCACCTGTGTTCTCTTCCAAATGCTGTTGGGCAAAATAGCACCTTCATGCTTTTCTCATCGTATTACCTAGTAGGTCTGCACACATACACACATCAGTCCACTCCCATTGTGAATGTTGTCTTGTGTCATTCATCACCTTCCAAACAATATTATGTGTTTTGTTCTTTCTGGGTCTCTTTCTTTCCAAAGGTTGTATATAGTAGTCATTTGGTGGCTCTAACTCCCTACATAAGATGTCTTGGGTTTCATTTTTCCTTTTCTCTCCTCAGTGGTGTTTGCTGAATGACAACAATTTAGGAATGCTCAATGTGCTGTTGATTCTTTCAATACACAGTATTGTTCTTGTAAAACTGTGACATTCCACAGAGCTACTGCCACTGTCCTTTCCTTGGGTGTCAGGCTCTGAAACTCTCAAAATTTGCTGTCCTTGGTTCCTCATGGCTGTCATCTGTCTTTATGATTTCATGATTAGACAATGTGGAATTACATAACAGGCATTGCACTAAAAGTGATGTGATTTATGCATTTATGCATGAGAACTAAATAGATTTTTAGATTCCTACTTAAACAAAATCTTTCCATGACAGTAGCATACTGATGAGAAAACACACACACACACACACACACACACACACACACCACCAGAAACAACAAAACAACAAAGCATGCTCAGTATTGAGACACTGTCAAGATTAAGTTATACCAGCAAAACTGAAGTAGTGTCACTTTATTTCTGTCAATATATAGACTTATTAATCATAATCATCCTTTTTTTAAAAAAAGAATTTAAAAAAAAAAGATGGATTTGACACACTCACCACTTAATCATTTCCAGCAAAATATACGTTTGGATGAACTATGTCAAATGAATGTAATATAGGATTTGTTTGCTGCTTTTGAAGGCTATGTTTTGGAGAAAGCAATCTTGCTGTGAAACAGTGTGGAGATGTAAATTTTATAAGGCTGACTCTTTTTAATCACCATTTCCCCCTGTGGTTTGTTATCAGTACAATTCTCTGTTGCTTAATCTAGAGCTATGCACACCAAATTGCTGAGATATTTAGTAGCTGATAAAGAAATCTTAAAAAAAAATAATATAAATGAATGAAATATAGATAAACTGTGAGATAAATATCATTACAGCATGTAATATTAAATTCCTCCTGTCTCCTCTGTCAGTTTGTGAAGTGATTGACATTTTGTAGCTAGTTTAAAATTATTAAAAATTATAGACCTCAGATGTCTGCTTTAATTTCTTCATGGACTCCGTCTGATTTTGCAATCACATGAGAAGGGGAAGCCTGGCTCCTCCATCCCATTGCTCCGAAAAAGCAGTTCTGCATGCTGAGAACACTGTATGGGGGAAAAAAAAAACACTGTATGAAAAAAAAAAAAAATGTTCCTTTTAGACACGATTCCAATGGCGGGTGACACTTGGCTTGATTTTTATAATCTGTTTCAGAAATACTTGTGTGTCGATTCAGTGTCAGCTATGTGCGAAAATGTAGTTTTCCAGAAGATAGAAAAAATGTCTATGGAAAAAATCTGTGGTACTCAGACTTGACCCAACATAGATTTAGGTATATCGGGTATCAGTCAACTCTTCCTTCCTCTCCCACACACCAAAAGTGAACCCTCCACAACCACATTGCTGATACCCCCGCTTTTTTTTAACAGCTTTATTGATGTATTATACAATTCACCCATTTGAAGTATATAATTCAATGGTTTTTAGTATATTCACAGAGTTGCACAATCTAGTATTAGAATATTTTTATCACCCCACAAAGAAACCCCATACCTATTAGCAGTCACTCCCATACCACACCCACCAGCCATAGGCAACCTCTAGTTTATGTTCTGTCTCTATAGATTTGCCTGTTTGAACATTTCATATAAATGGAATTATACAGTATGTGGTGGCTTTGTGTCCAGCTTCTTTTACTTATCATAATGTTTTCAAAGTTCATCCATGTTGTAGCATGTAACAGAACCCCATTCCTTTTAAGGCCAAATAATATCCATTGTGTGTGGCTACCACATTTTGTTTGCCCATTCATCCATTGACGGACATTCAAGTCGTTCCCACTTTTTGGCAATTATGAGTTAGGCTGCTATGGACGTTCATGTGCAAGTCTTTGTGCAGACATGTTTCCAGTTCTTTTTACGTCATCATTGTTACCACCATCATTGCTTCTGTCACCATTGAAGCCAACACTTCCACCACCATCATCTCCACCAGCACCTGTACCACCCCTCTCCCCACCATTGCCACTACTTGCTACCTTCCCCTTTCTGCCTCCTCTGCAACTTCATCATCTTCCATAATACCTCCAGCATCTCCACTGTTATCACTGCTATCATCCCAGTCACTACAATCACATCCACCACCTGCCACCACTGTCATCGCCCTCACCTCCACCTTCGGCATCACCTTCGCCATCACCACCATTACCTCCCTCACCTCCACTACCTCCTCTGCCTCTCTCTCCTGCCCCGTAATATCAATAGAGATGAATTCATCCTGGTTGCCTTGATTGGCCACCAGATAATTTCATCCCTGAAAGCAGTTCTGGATGTTTGCTAAGAGAAGTTAAGGAACGAAAACAGTGATGACAAACTCATTCTCAACAAATCTTTGCAGTTCTTCACCCTCTTGCCAAGCCTCAGAACAAGTTCTAGACATACCCAGATACTCAGGGAAGTTATTCTGAGAAATAACTATAACGACATATTTCTTCTTTAAAGTTAAAGTAGTAGAAAGGATGCTAGAATATGGAGAAAGTGAATAAATATTCCGCATATATGAAAGCTGCTAAGGGGTCAACGTATGGGTCATATTAGAAAGTTCTGTCCCCGGGGCGCCTGGGTGGCTCATTTGGTTAAGTATCCAACTCTTGGTTTTGGCTCAGGTCATGATCTTGCGGTTCGTGAGTTCAAGCCCCACATCAGGGTCTGCACTGGCAGCAGAACCTGGTTGGGATTCTCTCTCTCTCTCTCTCTCTCTCTCTCTCTCTCAGAATCAATAAATAAACTTAAAAGAAAAGAAAATTCTGTCCCAAATTCCATGTCCTCTCAATCATCTCCACTCACTCAGGTGAGTGAATGTTTGTGTTATTAAAACCCCATACTGGATACATGAAAAGTGAGATACAAGCATTTTGCTTTAAGCCTATGACATAATTCATTCTGAAACACATTTTCTTGGATAACTGAGTTTGTCCAGCCTCAACTCATATGCAGTCAGTTTCTTTTGGCTAAAGGAGTACATGTTCCCTGGGGATGAATCAGCTCTGGGTAGGAACCAAGTCAGGAAGTACATTAGAAATATAATTACTGGGGCAAGGCTGAATCTTCTGTCTCCCTCATCCATGGCCCTTCTACAAACAACCAGAAAGTGAAAGGTGGTCTCAGGTCCTAGGAGCAGTGTCCTTTCCTCTGGCCTATCTCTTCATTTGTAGTTTCAGTTTCCCTTTTTTCACATTCTCCCCCAGCACCCCCTTTGACCAATGTTCCTGATCTTTGTGTCACTGATTTGTCAGCAAACTGATAACTGCACCCGAAATTAAGAGAAAAGGGAGAAGATTCATACTTTGTGATCATCTACTACATGCCAGGTGCTATGTTAAGTGCCTCATTTATGTTGACTCATTAAACCCTCTTGAAAATGCTACAAAATGGGGGTCATTAGCCCATTTTGCAGAAGAAATTAATAGTTTATTTTAACAAGACTTCTCAGCTAATAATTGATGATGTAGGCATGATTCAAACCAGATGTGTATGATTCCAAAGCTATAGGGAGGCCTGGAAGATGAATCCAGGATTGTGCCTCTCTCAATTCAACCAGCCAGGAAATTCCAGGAGACATTTGGCTTCACAAAGAGCAGCAAAGACAAATTTACTGGACTTCTTAGCCAAAAGTCTTGGTGAACACCTTTGATTCATTTGTTCATTCATTCATGAAATATTTATTGAACTTCTATGCCAGGCCTTGTTTTGAGTATTGGGAGTACACAGGGCAGGGGAAGGGGAGAAGGCAGCAGGGGGAACAGGGAAAATTCTCAGCATTCATTGAATTTATATTCAATCCGGGGGAGATAGATAAACCAACAAGTCAAATATGAAGTATATCAGGAGATATGTGTCTCACAGAAATGTAAGCAGTGAAGGGGGAAAAGAGTGCAGACAGTGGAGAAGGTATTATTTTAAGAGAGAATGATTGGGGAAGACCTCACAGATAAGTTTAAGTAAAGAGTTCTTCAAGGTTTGGAGTAACCAAAATGATATGTCCAGGGTGAACCCATTTGAGAAGCAGATTTGGGGAATGATGAAACAAATGTACAAATTATATGTTTTCATTTAGTAATACTGGAACTCCTCCTCTGCAACTCAATCAGTCCTGGTTTTAACTATTTCCCACATTGTCTGGAAGAAACTTGCAAATATCTTTGGCTCAGAGAGGAAGGAGGCAAGCCCAGAGGATGAAACTGTGCAAGGAATGAACATCAAGTCAAATTGTCTCAGGAGAGTAGAAAATGTTGACTTCAAGGTCCAAGTGGTCTTCATACAATCATTGACATACTAGTTTATCTTCAAGCAAGTTAGTCACAAATCTCAAATTCTCTACCTAGGATTTGGAAGCCCAAATCCATCTCCTAGAATGTAGGACACTTTGGGAAACAAGGAAACCAAAGAAAAGTAAACCATTAACAAGTCATTTAACCTCAGTACCTACAGCTAATTCCAGGATGAGTTGCCAAAGTATCCAGACATGTAACTATTCCAGTGTTCCAATCCTAAATGGGGTGCCACCATTTTACCATTCTTAGCTCCTCCAGCCTCTTGCCATAACACAGCTTCAAGACCATTCTGTTCAGGGGGCTTACTGCCTAAGTTCATGATCCTCTTTCTATAAGAAACTCAGAAAAAAAATGGCCCATAATCCTTCTACTAGACAATGCTAGTGCCCTGCCCATATCCTCTGAGCTCTTAC